AAGCCATCGACGGGAAGGCAGAGAGCTCTCTGATTCCCGCTTTTTTAAAGCCCACTAGGGGCGAAGAAAGAAGCTATTCAATATTCTAAACTCACATACTGTGAGTTTAGAATATTACAATTTAAAGTAATCAGAGGTAATTATAAATATTTATTGTGTGAGTTAGGAAGAATGAAACTCGACAAGTAATTCGAATCACTTATGGAGTTTCATTCTTTCCAACTCTTGATGGAACTCTGAAGCAGCCACCAACACGTGGTGAGTTCTGGGTTGTCGTTCGTCTGGAAATGACGAAGGGCAAGCGAAGAGCTGCTTGTTCCTTTGAACTGAATAATAAGGAATGAAAACATGCCAATAAAAGCAAAAATTACAAAAGTAATTAATGTTAGGAGAATTAAGTATTTAACTTTGGCATAAATCTCTTTAAATTCTGTGTAACTTGTAAGTGTTAATTCCTTATTCCAATAGTGACCGTGAATTTCAACTTACTCTATTATCTTTATAGCAACATATTCGTGTTATTGTTTCTACAAAATTATAGAATATTTTCGATAGAATATGATGATCTTAATAGCAAAATTTTTGACTTACTAATAAAACAACGATGAAAAAATTAAGGTAAGTCGTTACAAACCGTTACCAATATGGTGAAAACAGAGAAAATTCCGCATATCCGGCACGGTGACGGTGATCGAACCCACGACCGCCTATCGTTGTTTAGTGATTTTATCCATTGGGGTTTCCAACGGGGTCGGTATTGATCTCTTAGGGGTAATATAATATAACATTTCATAATATAGTATATAATATTGAAAGGGATCTTTTTTTATAAAACTCATTCCTACTCTGAAAATTAAGCTTTTTGCCATTTTATAATAATTATACTAAGCTATAAGGGGTCCAGTTTCCCATAGAAAGTCCTGAATCATAACAGATCGCCCACGTGTTGCAGTATTCTAAGAAACTAAAACGACCCAATTAAAATAGTGATTACAAGACTTTTTCTAGAATAAAACACACATATATTTCTATCAACCGCGAAAGCCTGAAGGTCGAAAATGGAGGTTTATTGCGCTACTTCCTTACAACCAGAGTTTTATGATAAATGCGATAAATTGCGTTCTCTTGTCAAAACGAAACGTTAACTTAAAAAAAAAAATTGGGGTGATCGGTCCAGATATGTTGAGTCCCGTTCTTTACCACCTAGTCGCCCATTTTGGGTCTGGCCCAATTTGTAACGGGCCTATTAATTAAATAATTAATAAGAAGACAATAAAATTTTAACATGGCCATAATACCCAAGAATATTTACATAATATCTAAGATATATACAATTATATACAAGGTGGGTGTTATGAGAGAAAAGTATACAGAACAAGCGCAAATATAAAAAAAAAATTAAAAAGTTATATACTGAGTATAGATTTTCTGGCCAGAAGATATTGAATTTTCTCTTTTCTTCTGTGATTTTTTTGTTCTTAGTATTAGATTCCATGACCAAATGCTGGGTTATTAAAAATATAAATTTAAAGTTAATGAAATAATTATGAATATAATTGGATGTTGAAAATATTTAAATTATTACGTTAGCAAAAGAAATATACTGTATAGATAGACCTATGTCTGTATTATATACTTGCAATTAGAAAAAAATACCGAAGTGGAAAGGGCTAATTTATTCTTTATTTCTATAAAGAATAAATTAGCCCTTTCCACTTTGGCATTAAGACTAGACTCGAGTCACTAAAAATGGCTGACACTCTTTTGAAAAGAGGGATTACGTGTCTTTTTCATCCGCCTGATGAAAGGTACCCATTCTTTATCACTACAAACATCATTTCATTACAAAAATCTTTGAAACTGAAACAATCAAAATGACAGACCACGCCACCAACTTTTTTGATTGGTCAGTTACAAATTATGTCACCAATTACGTCATTACGGCATCAAAGTGTATCCAGTAAAACGAGAATAATTTTTACGACATTCTTTACTAAAATAAATGAAAATGTACCTAAGAAATTTAGGATGCAGTGGGCCGCAGTACGGCCCGCGGGCTGCTGGTTGGACATCCGTGCGCTAGAGCATAAATCCAATGTTAGGCTGTTACCTTTTTTAGCACGGAAGACAACGAGTAACCATTCAAGTCTACAATAGAATAAATATGTTTAGTTTTCGATAACAAAATTTAGCCTATCTTATTTCTAATCCTATGCAAACGAACAATCAACAGTTTTTGTTAATCGTAACCATACAAGTTATTTTTGTAATTATAAATTAGACTTTAAATAATAATAATCAAAATAATATCTATAAAAGTTAAACTATAATGTATTCAAGTTGGGAAGTGATTCTTTATCGAATCGTTTTTCGTTGTTTTCCACGCTAATACGGTAACAGGACGTTATGCAGGAAGTGAGTCATACCTATTCTGTAGCCTAGTACACTTCTGGTGAGAAAAAAATGTAACTACTTAATAAAATCATTTATAGACTTAAATGTATTAGAAAAACTTATTTTCGGATCCTAGATATGAGATAATTTAGGAGGTTGCTAGCGTGGCTCGTTGGTCTAGGGGTATGATTTTCGCTTAGGGTGCGAGAGGTCCCGGGTTCAAATCCCGGACGAGCCCAAAGTCTATTCTCTTTTTCATTTTTTTTACTCGATTTGTCTTTTCTATATAAACAGTATTTTCGAAAGAACATCCTTCTGTAACATTTTAACAGGATTTAATCGTATTAGAAAGCATTACGGCTCGCGCACATTATTAACTTTTTGATCAGTCTAAATTAAATGAAGACACATACGAGTACGCACACTCAAACAATTTAAAATTGACCGATAATAAAGTTTAATGGGCAGTGCGATTCCCTTCAAAGTCAATAATTGGTAAACTAGCGGCCGGATGCTTAAACAGTATGGCGGACTATGCTGACTCGCAGACTATTTAGTCGGCGCGGTGCCCTCGGTATCCTATTTTGCTATGGCTGGTCCAATTAATTTAACAAGCTCGTTAAAACTGGTTATGCTCATTCTATAAAAAGCGAAAAACTTTTTCGGATAGTCTAGTACAGCGTTTCTCAAAGTGGGCGATAACGCCCCCTTGTGGGCGCTGGAGGCTTTCAGGGGGGCAGTAGAAGGCTCAAAGAGAATTGGGGGGCGTTAAGGAAATATAGAGGGGCGACGGCAGACAAATTCTATATATAAAAATTCGACGGAATATATATAAAATGTCGACATTTTATATATTTTTTATTGAAGGTCACAACTTGAATATTTCTAACACATTGACTTTTATTTTAGCTCAGCGTTTCTCAAAGTAAGCAATAACGCCACCTTCTGGCGCGATGAATAGATCTATGATAGAGGCAGGGTATTGAACGGTGACCAAAGGCAAAATTGGGGCTGATAAGAGGAAACATTGCGTTTAATGGTTTCCAGATGATGAGAACAATGTACAGTAAGGGCACAAAGTGTGAGATTCATAGAAAAGTTTTCCTAAGAATATTTCCAATCCTTTTCTCACACAAGAGAAAATGGGTTAGGGGGCGTTGGGTATAACTTTATGGAACAAAGGGGGCGGTGGATCGAAAAAGTTTGAGAATCACTGGTCTAGTAGTTTAGAATACAGCGTGTAAAACTTTCCTCGCAATAATCTATCACTGTATATTGGATGTGCCCAATATTCTCAGTTTCTTTTCTTAATTTTTCGCCTTCGTTTTATAATAAGAGCAATAATAACAACTCTTCTTTACAACATTTCTATTGAAACACAAGCGTTCAATCCAAGTGCAGATTATCGACTAAAGCAATCGGACAATCTGCGCACCCACCACCAAGGGAACAGCTTAGCTGTAGCAGTGTGCGGGGATGCACTCCAATTCGACTAAACTATTGTACGATAGTTTAGTGTGAAATGTGCACGGGATTTTAACGTTGTATGTGAAAATGAGAACCTAGATTAATGCAAAGAAATTAACTAGAAAAAAATAACTTCGGGCTCGTCCGGGATTTGAACCCGGGACCTCTCGCACCCTAAGCGAGAATCATACCCCTAGACCAACGAGCCGTAAGCGTATCTTTTTCAATCAGTCTCTATCTAGGATTCAGCAAGTTGTTAGTACATTGTTACCTTATTTTCATTATTTAATTTATAATTAAATATTGAAGCCACGAATTTCCTGGTTTCAATGTTTAATTTCGACTTCTCTTTTGACCACAGGAAATTTACCAATGAAAGCATTCTTTATTTGGAAGTTGTTTCCAAAAAACAAAGGACTAATTTTATCAAATTATTAAAATCTTGAAATTGGAGATTATTTTCGAGCATTTCATTAAGTATTTTGATCTATCCGTCTGCTACGTTGATTCGTTCTTCATTAGTTTTCTCAAGTATTTGGTTAGTATTGTCTTGAACAACGCCCATTGATAGGATTTTATCAGTTTCTGTTTGAGTAATATGTTCCTTAAATTCGTTGAATCTAATGTGATCTGTTTGAAATGATTGTCTTATTAAATTAACCAGGTATTATGGAGATCGGCTCGCAAGTCATCTTTCTCACTAAATGTACACTAAATCTCTTTGAAATCTGTACAGATTGCAAAGGGATGTTGTGTAGGGGTCCACCAAACGCTCAATACAAAAAAGGATGCAAGAACATCGGTACGACATTTTGAACAAAACATATTCCTTTCGATACAATTTTATGTTTATAAGCATAACATTAAGCCATAAAAATTGAAATTGCTCTATGAGAAACGACCATAAACGTTGACCTAGCGATCCGGAAGTTTCGCCGGCACCTCACTGATACCTAGAAAGCCTTAAGTTTAAAATTTGAGCTTTCGAGATTCGGTACTTTTTCTCTTCGAGCGCTTGCAGTGCCGGAGAATATACGGCGTTTTGGCGATTTTCGCACTTTTCGATTACTCATATTTCGGCAACCCCTTTATAAAAAGTCTTGAAATTTTGCACACGACCTAATAAAACAATTATCGTTTGTACGAAATATTCGGAATTACTTCAAGTGTTTGGGGGATTAAGAAATTGACACCCGAAATTCGGCAATTCTGATTTCCGTAAATATAGTCAATCAGTGATCTTTTACTGCCATGATTCTCGTTATAGAAAGATTTTATAACAAAATCTTATAATAGATGGCGGTCCACACAATTTTATTTATTTATTATGATTAATAATATAAAAATTATTTTTAAAATAAAATATCATAACAGCCAGAAAAGTTACTCGACTCATTGCTAGATTTTTTTTATTTATTTACGTTTTTTGGGTCTAGGAGGTCTCAACTTAACTTCGTTTAATCGAATGTAATCTGTTTGAAATGGTTGTCTTTTTTAAATTAATTAAGTGGTATTATGGAGATCGGCTCGCGCATCATCTTTTTCACTAAATGTACACTAAATCCCTTTGGAATCTGTACAGATTCCAAAGCGATTTTGTGTGATTTAGTGGGATTTAGTGACTTGCCTGGAAAGTAAAATAATCTTACAAAATAAAACAACGAATATTTAGAAGTATTCAAACGAAAAATTTATTACCTTTTATTGTTTAGATATTTAAAAATTTATCTTGCATCATTTTCAACAAGAAAAACAGTAATATTGTTACGGATTAATAACTGTTTGTAAGATAAACAATGTACTTATATACGAATATATTTTTATTCATTAACATTTTCTGCTTTTTAATAATCTTGGATAAGACTTTCTCGTTTCCTGTAAGTAGAAAATCATACAGAAATCTCCACACTATAAAACGTCATAGAAACGAGCAAAGTTCAAACATGGATGAATCTGCACAAACCAGTAGATATAACAGATATAAGAAAATTATAAAAGATATAGAAATAATTCAGAAACTTATTTCAGAAATTAAAGCAAAGAGAAAGATCGAAGATCTGAAAAATGCACAATCGCAAATAACCACGGAAACAAGGATGTACACAACCAAGGAACCACATTTACTAACAACTGCCTTCGATACAAACGTAATAAATGTCATTATAATTGTCGTATACTGTTTAATGATGTCCATCATCTTCATAATCGGATTTTTCAGCCTCATCAAATCGGATAAGCGCACTGTAAAGGCTGTGGCTTCTCCCGAAGACACCATCAGAATTCAGAAACGAATTAGTGAATTACAAGCAGAAAAAATGGATTCGAAATCAGAAAACATCTTTCATACCGAACCGCCATCATCTATGCAAATGCCATTCGATTCTATTAAGGAACAACTAGATGATGAAGAATTAGAACTGTTAGAACCGAAGGAAAAAGGCATAATCAGTAAGCAAGATACGGGAGTTTGTGAACAAAACGTTGATTTTCGAACTAGTATCTGCGAAGAAGATGTTAATATTAAAAATGAAACAAGTTTAGATGTTTTCGAAGAACCTGCTTACGAAATTATTGAAAATCCTACAAGTGAAGAAATTAGGATAATTGGAGAAGATGAAGACATCGACGAAGAAATGTATGAAATTTTAGAATATTTTGAAGAAGAAGAAGAAGAAGTAGAAGAAGAGATTAATTAAATTAATTAATTACAAACGATATAAATTAATAAAATATTCCTGATAATGATAAATTGTTCTCAATTATAAGTATTTCTTGAATGAAAATTTATATCGCCATTTACCTGCATACAGTATATATAGGTAAATTTATAAATATCATAATTTATATTATAATATAAATAAATATAAATATAATAAATTTATAT